CAAGACCATGTCTCAGAGAGAAAGTTTGTTGGGGTAAAGAGCACTGGCTGTTCTTGCAGAGGTCCCAGATTCAATTTCCTAGCATCCACATGGCAGCTCACAACCCTCTATAACTTCAGTCTCAGGGCATCTGACACGTCTGATCTCTGAGAGTACCAGGCATGCACAGAGGGACATGCAGGCAAAACACCCATACACATCAAAAAGGAATACATTTTCAAAAACGGAAACAAAGATAAACCATTGGGGGCTGGTGAGAGGATTCAGCACTTAGCAGCACTTCTTGCTCTTGCAGAGGACTGGAATTCACTTCCCAGCACCTGTCTTAGACAGCCCATAACCACCTGTAACACCAAAGAGTGGATCCAGCGCCCCCTTCTGGCCTCCAAGGGCATCTGCACACATAGGTGCACACACACATAAATAAAAGCAAAACAAATCTCTAACAACAAACCAATAGCAAAAAAACCCCCAAATCTCTCCTTAATTTCCATTTCATTTCATTCTTCAGTTTATGGAAAGGAGAGGGGGGCTACTTCGATTTTACCTAATTTAATTTCCTCAAACTCACCATGTATCAAAGATGACCTTAAACTTCCAATCCTCCTGCCTCCTCCTCCCGAGTGTTGGGATTACCAGTGTGTACCACCACCTATGTATTTGGCATAAATATTCGTGTGGCGCTGGAGATTGGCTCGGGTCCTCCTGCGTGCTGACTAGGCAGTCTACCAATGGCACTATATCCCCAGTCCCTAATTTTATTGATAATTTAAAAAGATAAATTCAAAGTCAGAATTTTTCAAATTGAACTTTAAAACACATCAAGTGTTACCAAAACAAAAACAAAAACAAACAAACAAACAAACAAAAAACCCCCACAAGAGTTACTGATAAATTCCACTTAGGATTGTTCTAGAAAATTCAGGGTGACATGTACTCAGATTGCTGCTATACTAGCTATAAAAGCAAAAAACAAAACAAAACAAAAACAAAAAACAAACAAACAAAAAACAAGAAAATTCATGGGACATTGCTGAATGGTTATTAAGTAGTATCTGGTCCTTAATGGCAAGTTCATTTTCATTTAATAACACGTTATTGTGAAGTATAATGAAAAGTGGAGTAGCATGCAGAGCAAGCTGGCGTCTGCTTAGGTTGACGGTGTGCCAGTTTTGGGGTGCCGCTTACAGCCCTATCCATCTTCGTGAACCAGTCTTTGGGAGATTTTATTAAACAGCGGGGAGGAACAGAGGATGACAGCTTCATTAGCCATGAGTATGTAATCCTGGCCGATTTCTCTAGAGAATTATTAACACATTCCTAAGCTCCTCTTAGAGGATGGCATCCCAAGAACAAGAAGAGGAGATCTGTGTTAAGATCTTGGACATCATCCAAGTCTGCAGAGCGTTTTTTTAGCTCTTCATAACACTTCTGGGGAACCAGGCCTTCTGAGTCCTGTACAAAGACCTCAAGACTCATGCCCACCAATCTATCCAAGGCAGAGAAAAAAGTCGGCAGGACATCTACCAGATAGAGAGTTTAAGTTATGTCATTCGATAAGGAGATGAGTTTGTACCAAACTAGTCCAGCTAGAAAATGGGAGTTTTAGGAAGGGTGTCTTTGGGAACCCAGGATAATAATAAATGCACAATAAATCTATCAGAATTTGACAGGTTCCGGAGAATTCCTGTTCAGGCAGGCTCAGTTAGCTAGAGGGTCTGCGTGTCCCTGTGAAGATCTCTAGGACATTGCCGCTGTCCCCTGGTGAGTCCTGGTAGGGTTTGAGGAGGGCCATCAGGGAAATGCTTTATTCTGCAGGTCAGTGGAGTTTTATACGTGTGCTTAAAGAGTGGTAAGCCGCACGGTGGTGGTGCATGCCTTTAATCCCAGCACTCGGGAGGCAGAGCCAGGCGGATCTCTGTGAGTTCGAGGCCAGCCTGGGCTACAGAGCAAGTTCCAGGATAGGCACCAAAACTACACAGAGAAACCCTGTCTCGAATAAAGAGTAGCAATTGCATCTTTGAAATTTCAGTTGCTTCCTAGGGTAGCAAAATTAAGAATTGGAGTGAGAGGCTGGGGAGATGGCTCAATGGTTAAGGGAGGGCCCAAATTTGGTTCCCAGTATCCATATCAGGCAGCTCACATCCTCCTGTAACTCCAGTTCTAGAGGGTCTCTGGCCTCTTTGAGAACCCCCACAGACATGTATACCTCCCCCACACATACACATAACCAATTCTGTTTTAGTTTAATTAAAAAATACAAATAATTTGATTCTGTTAAAAAATAAACGGAAGGTGTTGGGGATTTAGCTCAGTGGTAGAGCGCTTGCCTAGCAAGCACAGGGCTCTGGGTTCGGTCCTCAGCTCTGGAAAAAAATAATAATAAAAAAAATAAACAGAAAAGAATTGAAGTGGGACTTATGCATTTGATTTGCCACTCAACTGTGGAACCTTGGACAAATGAAATAACCTCTCAGCCTGTTTCTTCATCTGCAAAGCAGAAACCATCTCATGGAGGTTTGTGAGGATTACTCGGTGTAAATAGGGAACGCACTTATCAGAGCGCTTCAGCAAACACATCTCCTGTTATACTACAAGAGGGAGGCTGTGTTGGTACAGTCAATCACGGCACATTTGAGATAGTGTCTTGTAACACAAATTGCTAGACGGTCTTATAAATGAAATAACTGGGAGCCAGGTATTGGGGTGAACGCTGAATGATCAGAGAAACAGAACAAGCCAGCTTCTTTGCCAACTTCTCAGCTGATCCTGTTTCCTCAAACTGGATGCCTCTGAGTCCTCATCTGAATGGATCTCAGCTGGACTGCCGCTAAAAGCTAAAGGCTTAAAAAAGGCTCTAGTTCCTGGTCCTCATACCTTATATACCTCTCTGCTTCCTGCCATCACTTCCTGAGATTAAAGACATGTGTCACCATGCCTGGCTGTTTCCAGTATGGCTTTGAACTCACAGAGATCCAGACGGATCTCTGCCTCCAGAATGCCAGGATTAAAGGCGTGTGCTACCACTGCCTAAACCTATGTTTAATACAGTGGCTGTTCTGTTCTCTGACCCCCAGATAATTTTATTGGGGTGCACAGTATATCAACCACAGTGTCTAAAGCAATTACATCTGGCAGGGTGTGGTGACTGGCAGGAACTTGGGTTCTCTCTGAAAGAACAGCCAGCTCTTAACTGCTGAGCTGTTTCTCCAGTGTTGAATTTTACTTGACACAATTTGAATTAGGCCAGCTTGAAAGAAGAAAAGAATTATGAAACAATTCCTCTCTCTCTCTCTCTCTCTCTCTCTCTCTCTCTCTCTCTCTCTCTCTCTCTCTTTCCTCCCACCGTGTGTGTGTGTGTGTGTGTGTGTGTGTGTGTGTGTGTGTGTGTGTGTATGTGTGTGCGTTTTTCTCTTTCTGTCTGTTTCTCTCACACTGGAGAAGCTCAAGCCCTTTTAATAAAAGCCATTTAAAAGAACAGGAGCATTTCCTAGAGAACCTGGTTGGTAACAACTTTTCCATTCTATTTGAACTTGTTACTGTAACAAGTCCTAGCTGAGAACTCTTCGCCTATTCAGAGAGCAGAGATATAGCTTGTCTCTGGAGAGTATGAAAATATGAATTCCTCAAGGAAGTGTGGGATCATGTCCTTCTTTTGTTTTTCAGAGAAGAGGGTCAAAGTGGAGAGAGATTACAGTGGGATTTAGGATCCCACTCTTTATAGAGAGTAGCATGATGTGGCACAACCCACGATCTCATACGTGACAGAAAAGTTCTTTAACATCAAGTTTCATCCCTAGCTCTGGGCCGTGATCCAACACGGGTCCTGTGAGTATCCCAAAAGGAGAGTAGGAGCTAGCTAATCAGTGGTGTCGCTGAAACAGTTAAGATTCGGGAAACTGTCCAGTAGCTAAACCTTTACCCCACAGCCTGCGAGGGAGTCAGTCTGGCCAGGGTTAACGCTCCCTGTGCACCTTTCTCCACCTGCACACCCCCTGGGTCCTGCTCAGGCCCACACAACGGTTTCTTCAGCAGGAGGCCAGCCCAGTGACAAGTGTGGGCAGGAGTCGTCTCCTATACATCCAATCACCTAGAACTAGTATGGCTGAGTTCTAGGGTTGATGTGGAATTTGGGTAAACAATAGATTATGAACAGTTTAGATACAAAGTTACAGGAAGCAGTCACATTAATGGTCTGGAAGGAAAGAAGTCATTTGGGAACTCGAAGCTTCCTCATTATTTTAGCTCGAAGAATGTTCTTGACGAATTCTGAAGGACTAAAGTGACTTTACACATTGCTGCTACTCATGATGGGCCAGGGCTGTCGTCGATGACACAGCTCTGACCTTGGAGTTCCTTAAGCAGCCTCGAAGAATCCTCTCACTGGAGGGGAGACTTTCTCTGATATTCCAGAACACTGAGGGTCAAATGTAGCTTGTCAGATACTAGCAAGAGAATACAGCCAAGATCAACTTTAAGGCTTCCAGATGGGGGGCGGCTGCTCCCTCTGGCAGGGATTTCCTTCTCAAAGCTACAACAGAAAAAGGGGTTGAGAATGGAACGTGGGTCTTCCTCCATCCAACCAGCTGAACAGGCTTTCTCCGGGCTATGCTTCCTGGTCTACCAGCTGTGTTTCAGACCACTTCTTGATCCTCGCTGCCTTTGTGCCCGATTCGTGGATCCTCAGGTTGCAAGGAAGCAGGGAGCGGACACATGGGCTCCACATGCCTGTGGCTCTGCTCTGTCCTGGCTTGGGAGAGACTTCGTGCTGATTGGGCTGTGCAGAAGGGTCTGGGGAGAAAGTCCCCTTCTCATTCTTTAGTGATGTGCAAATGCCTTGCAATTGGCTCACATGAAGTAGTAGCTAAGCTGGGGATGTAGAAATGTTTTTGTTGGCAGGAGAACACATTCAGCATCCACATACATGCGTGTCTACTTTTTGGCAGACAGCAGAAACGCAGTGGCTTTGGCCCTTCCCACATCTCTGCGTACTAGATCCTCCAATGCCTCAGGGTGCAGCGCTGTGCCTGTCTCCTATACGGAGCTTGGATGGGCACTACCATGGGGAGATCATCTTTACTGCAGCCAGAGCACTCCAGTAAAGAAGAGTGAAGGACAGAACTTGTTAGCGGTAAGGGCGACATCTAAGGTTCTGGGAGGCGCTTTATAAGCGGTCACCTAATCTGTAAGTCTGTAAGCCTTTAGCAACATTGGAAGTTAGGTTTTACCTGAGATAGGGTAGGGATGTTGTCTCTTCCCACTGGGTTCCATTTCTAGTATTTCCCCTAGGGAGGCACGGGATGATGGAGAGGTGTCGAGGAGGTCTTTAGGGGAGCCAGGAGGAGCGGAATCCGAGATTCATTTATTTGGGATCTACAGGCTCTTCATATACGGTCCCACACTTACTTTCATTCATACTAAATAAGTTGCTAGTCTTTTTAGGGTAGAAACAGCCTCAGCACCGTCTTGGTGGCATCCTAGCTCCTGTTGCGGGTCCAGTGTGTCTCACAAAGCTGGATTCTGGAAGTGGCAGGTAATGAGGAAGAAACAAGAGTTAAAACGATGGCTGTTCTTTCGTGCATCAGCTGTATGAAATTGTGAGTGGATTATTTAGCTCTCATTGATGTCAAGACAGAAATTATCTTTGAAAAAACATCCACTATTTCAATGCATAAAATGATTACTTTTAGTTTCTTTTATTAGCATATACTAATTGGATAAGAGAATGGATCCACTGTGACATTTCCTACATGTATCTACTTCACTTTCTCCTCCTACTGCTCACCTCCTCTTCCCCCTTCCTACTTTCATGCCTTTCCTTCTTTTTGTTTTTAATGCAAATTCTGCATATGAGGGGAAATGGTATTTGACTTTCTGAGTCTGGCCTAGTTTGTTTAACATGTAAATGTACACAACCATCACACACCACACCATGGTACTTTAAAAATGGGAATCAAAGCAAAATAGAATTGTCTAGGGAGCGGGAGGGGGGAGAACAAGGGAATCCATGGCTGATATGTAGAACTGAATTGTATTGTAAAATAAAATAAAATAGAATTGACTAGGGTTCTTGTGTTTGTGGAGCACACAGCCAGAACAATTCCATTAACTGTGAAGTAGTGTTCTTTGGCATACCAGACTGCTTTGTTATGTCTTCTCACATACTGACTCAATCTCAGTGTATCTGATACACCTTCTGATGGAATCTGGTGATACCGGAAAAACTAACATTCAAAGTAAGTGAATGTGACAAAATGCCCATCTCTACGTTACTATCAATAGAGTAAGAGGAATTCCACTGAACAATGATACAGTTCAATCCAATCCAATATCATTTTCCTTACTATTGTATTGCTTTCTTATCATGGCATTTAAAAACATGTTTAGATTGCTTTCTTTTCTCTCCATGAAAATTATATTACAAAATTGAAGAAATGACCAAACGAAAGTTATGCAGCAAAAATTTTATATATATACACATATATATATATGTATATATATGGAAAATAGGACAATACAGATGCAAGTATGTAAATTTCCAGGATCTTATGTCTTTGGTATTTGCTACATTTTTAAAAAGGTGTAATTTGTTGTGATTTCTCTTTCTTTCTTTTCTTTCTTTCTTTCTTTCTTTCTTTCTTTCTTTCTTTCTTTCTTCCTTCCTTCCTTCCTTCCTTCCTTCCTTCCTTCCTTCCTTTCTTTCTTTCTTCCTTTCTTCCTTTCTTTCTTTCTTCCTTTCTTCCTTTCTTTCTTCTTTTTGAGACAGGGTTTCTCTGTGTAGCTTTGCACCTTTCCTGGATCTCACTCTGTAGACCGGGCTGACCTTGAATCACAGAGATCCACCTGGCTCTACCTCCTGAGTGCTGGGATCAAAGGTGCGCGCCACCACGCCACCGCGCCACCACGCCACCACCGCCCTAGCGTGATTCCATTTTCAACCTAAACAATATCTACTAGCTGGGTCCAGTGACATACAACTGTCACTGGTTCCTAGGGAGCCAAGGCAAGAGACCCATCGTAGCCCAGGACTTTGAGGACAACCTGGGAAACATTCTGTTTCAGAAAAGTAAACCAAACACTTTGTGTTCGTGCTTGATTTTGTACTCTTACATTGCTATTTTAAGGTCTTTTTCTTAGCACCCCCCCCTATATATATAAAGTTTGAGACCCATGTGGGCCAAATCCACCCTTGATCATAGTTGTGCTTTGTTCTATGCACTCTGTCTCATAAAAATTATTGCTATTATTGTTTTGAGATACTGTCTCCCTACGTAGCCCAGGCTGACCTTGAACTCTTGATTCTCCTGACTCTTGTGTGATGGGATTGCAAATGCTCACTGCCACACCCAGCTATTATTACTATTACTAGTGTAATTTTTTAAGGTGTAGGGGCTTGAACACAAGAGCCTTGCATGTACAGGCCAGTACTCTCCCACCAAGAGCTTCAGTTAGTGCCCCTAGAAAAATGATTGAATATTCAAAATGCACCTGGTAGTTTATGCCTGTGAAATCATTTTGGGCAGTACAAAGATGTGGGGAGATGGTCAGTATTATACTTTCTTAACACCCTCATCCCAGCTGTCCATTTCAGTGTCTTCTCTTGGTCCTGTCCTCCAACCAGTCCATTGTTATTGAGTGTGGTTTTGGTACAAGATGCCTGAGTTGACTTCTGCCTCTGCCCTAGGCAAACTTAAAAAGTCTGTTAGTGCTTTTTTTTTTTTTAGTACCTGTCTGGGGTAGGGGGTGGGGTGCTTTTGGGGACTTAGAACTGCATCTAACGTGCTGTGCCCACTAAACATCAGTTTGTTTAGAAAACGCACGCATTGCGGTTTCTTTGCAGCTATTTCACGTGCTGGAGCCTCCCTTCCCCCCAAGTCTGTAAACTCAAGATGGGAGACTAATGGAAAACATCTTTCTTGGCACGTCGTTCCTCAGAAATGCGTGGGCGTGAGCGCCATCTAGCTGTGCTCCGGGTGATTCTGTGAATGCCCGGCTTAGAATGGCCGAACAGGATCGGGGAAGTGTCCTTTGATCTGTCAGGAGAAGCTGCAAGCCTGTGGTGTGAGAGCCACTCACAAGGACTGTATCCGCAGACACCCACTGAAAAGCCAGGGCTCCCTAGGAAGGGATGGGTGTCCTCGAAATGTAAAGAGATGGAAGTCTGCATGCGAGGGGACAGTTTAAGATTGAAACACTACTCCAGGGAGCACAAAGCCAACGCCGGGTGTCTTGTGAAGCAGCAGGCAGGTGATTCTCAAGGGCGATCATTAAGGAAGGCCCCTGACCATGTGGAAGAAGGGTGGAGAGAAAGATGAGCCTCCAGGATGACCCGGCTCACCGGCTACCTAGTAACAGAGGAATGGCGGGAACAAACCCCAGGATGAGATCATCAAAAACCAAAGAGAGAAGAGGCAGATGGAGAGAAGACTGGTTCCGCGGAGGTGGCGCTGAATGTCTCAGTTTCTAACCCCCTCTGCCTCCCATTCCGCCAAGGGTGGAAGAGCAGAGGCTCACAGGTAGGGAGGGGTCAAACTGCCGAGACGGTCATCACCAGGACCCTTCAGAGCTGGCTCGATGAGGAGCCATGAGGAGCCGGCACCGCTGCGATGCTGGGTTCATGTTTCACTTGGCTACATTTGCTGTCTCTCCCACACAGGCAAAACAGGCTCTCTCTCTCTCTCTCCTCTGCCTGTGGAAATCTACCTGGGAGCTCTGCAGGTCTAATAGTTGGGCAGCTCCCCCTTTATCAGAAGCCTTTGGTCACTGCTAGAAATCGGTCCTAAGTGGGGGAGGGGGTGGCTGCCAAGCCAGATGATGTGTGTGGCTCATACCCAGGCCGCCTTGCTGTTACAGCCCAGATGGATACACCGGAGCTGGAGTCCAGGGGCAGTAGCCCCCCCAAAATGGGATCCTGCTCTTGATTCCTCCATGAAAGGGTTAATACAATGCTCAAATTTCCAAGGGAATGTGTGCCTCCAAAATCTCTAATGTCTCTAAAGAGAGCATGACCAATGGATTTGCAAATAGTAGGTGCTTAATAAATGCTTTATCACTCATTTTGAAAAGAGGAACGTTTGGTTGTTTTTTGTTTTTGTTTTTTTAAAAAGTATTTTAAATTTATTTTTATTTCACGTACATTGGTGTTTTGCCATGGGTGTTGGGTCTCAGGAACTGGAGTTACAGACAGTTGTGAGCTGCCATGTGGGTGCTGGGAATTGAACCAGGGTCCTCTGGAAGAGCAGTCAGTGCTCTTAACCACTAAGCCATCTCTCCAGCCCCTGTTTTTTGTTTTTTAAATTTTATTTAACTTTATTATATGAGCATTGGTGTGAAGGTGTCAGATCTCCTGGAACTGGAGTTACAGACAGTTTTGAGCTGCCATGTGGGTGCTGGGAATTGAACCTGGGTCCTCTG